ATCGAATATACCCTCTTTCTCTCTCTTAATCTTTTTTAAATAAAAGCCTTAAAAGTTAGTTTTTAAGAATTTAAAAGGACCAAAAAACTCATTCTTTTTTTGAGAAAAACAAAAAAGAAGGGGTTAGAAAGCATAATTTCTAATGGGATTACTTGAACAAAGTTCTTCTCAATTTCTTTCTTAGACTTCCTTACCTATAGCATCATATCATTTGCTCCTGCCTGATAGTGCGAGGTCATGTTGCTTAGTTCGATGACAATTTGCAACATCCACATATCATGTGTAGAGCCTCCAGAAGGATGCCTTAAGCTAAGTTCCATCGGAAGTGTTTTTGGGGCTATTTGGGCCCCTCTGGAGTGTTGGTCACATTAGAAACTGTTCAGATGCAATACATGTTGCATATACTGGCCCAACTTCTTACATGTTGCAATATATGATGCTAATACTATGGAGGCAAATGCTCTTCTTACTAGGATCATGATCTTCTCCTAGTTTTTCTCAATCCCCCTTTTTAGGATCATAATCTTTTCATAGTTTAGGATCTTGTTATGGTAGAAGGAGGCTCATAGAATATCATTTGATGGGGCAGGGCATGAGGGACATCTCCCATTGAGGCCGGTCGATGTGTTTGAAGATATTCATGACCTTTATGAGGGTGAAACCATAGTTGTTGGGTTTGAGAGCAGGACTGGGAGCGAATCTAGATTGGGAGCTAGGATCATGAATGCTGGAAGATCACTATGGTTGGGAACATTGTCTGTACAATGCATATGTTAAGGGTGAAGATCCCCAAATGTTAGGGATCAAGATCTTAGCTTGTTAGGGATCTTTTGGGATCTTAATCTCAACCTTTTGGGGTCTAGGATTATATATACTTTTTAAAGTAGGCATCTCTTTTTTATAGCCAATAAGCAATCCACCTATATTAAAATTATAGGTGTATTGTTAATTGGCTATAAATAAAGATAATCATCATGTTAGTTGGTTTCTTAGTCTTTAAGGTTGGGATCGAGATCCCTAGCAGTGGGAATGGGGGTCCCCAAAAGTAGGGATCGAGATTCCAAAATTTTGAAATCGAGATCCCTTTCTTTGAGCATGGGAGTGTGATTGCTACCTATTTGGAAGATCCGGGAAGTATGAGTGAGATCATCTGTTTTAGGCACATATACAGAGCAGCAAATGAATTACCGGACTAGAAACAAAAGAGAGACCTTACTTGCCCTTGCTCACTTGGAGCTCCCGGCGCACTTATCTCTATCCCCACCCTCTCTCTCTCTCT